AGTGTTTGCCATCCTTTGAACAAATATCTCTTATCGTTTATATCTGCCATTATTTGCACATTTGAATCCATGTCACCATTTGGTAAAGTCTTGTCTGTCATCTGGTCTTCGGGATAATTAAATTCATTGCTCGCTTCGACACCAATCAAAGGGTTGCTTAAATCGTGATTGGATTCAATGAACTGTTGGACAACTGAGCAGACATTGGTCTTAATAGTAATGATCTGTTGGCAAACCAATTGCTGATCACTTGTGGCCAATGATTGTCCCAATGTTTCCAACTCTCTTAACTCGGATTTAAGTCTTTGGACACTTTGCAGACCATTGATCTGTTCTTTCAATAGTAGATCCAAGTGTTGTTGCAGTCGATACTATGCAGACATTAAACAAATACAATACAACCAAACATTCATTCATTCATTGATTAAATCAATACCTTTTCAATGAGTTGTTTATGATTTTGAATGCATTTCAGATGAAAGGGAATCGAGATTTGAATTATACGTTCAATCGCTAAATGGATGCGACGGTCACTACACTTGTCATCACTACTCTGGTCACCACTACACCCATCCATCACATCCATCACATCCATTATAATCACAACAATTGATTCAAAAGTATTGATTCAAACAATGATCATCTGATTTGAGGGCACATCACATGTCATATGACTGTCATCTCAACAATAATAATAATATTGAATGTATGGGTGAATGAGTGAATCAATTGACGCCCAATAGGTGTCAATGCGTGCGAACTCTTCATTCAATTCCAGTTTTGATAGTTTTCGAAATTTTCAATTTATTTATTCAATTCGAAACAATTCTTATGATTTATTCACTCAATGGCTAAAGACTATGGAAACTATGATTAATGTTATATTATATTTATTGACAATTTAGTGTCATTTTTAGTTCACAATACTTTTAAAAGATGTGTTCAGTTGTTGAGTACATTTAACAACAAATTGTTAAACATTTGTACGCAGAATAATATATAAACTCATCGCTTATATACAGTGATCGCCAAAGTGTCGAATAGGTAGATGTGATTATTTTTAAAACTTGGTAATCTTTCATACATTACTCATGATAAATGTTACGGTATTTGTAATTATAGTCTACACTTTAGTATTTAATATTAATATGTAAATAGTACCCCGATCCTATATGAATGTTACATTACATTATATTACGTTACATTATACAATATATGAATCATCGTTTATTATAAATGAGTTAGTAAAGTTAGTATAGATTAGTATAAATTATAATGCAATAGCGGTTCAATTGCGGCTCGAGAGCCAATTCATGCTCATCGCTAATACTAAATACTGATTACCCTAAAAACTCACAGATAAGACGAATGATAAAATGATGTAAGTAAATGCTCCTGTAGATAAGACAAAGCCTATGTCTGGCCAATTGATTTGTCAATTTTAGCAATTTATAGAAAACTCATCTCAAATATAATGATCAAAAGCAACAGTCAAACTGTCAGAACAATTTAGTTGAAACATATACTTGAGTTATTATATCCACATTTCATACATGCATGTATTCTGTGGTCATTTGCATACTTCTGGTTTAAAGTTTGTGATTTGATCACAAGTTTCAATAATTCTTTATTTATAATTAATATTATTAAAAGTTTTAATAATAAATAAATAAATATAATTTAATAATAGTGTAGTTTTGCAATGTGTAGGGCAATTTTAGAATGTAATATTTAAAAATTGATTCAATATAAATAACACGTTAACTAGAATAATAATAATTGAATTATATTTGGTGATAAATTTAATAATATTCTCGATATGTTTCTAACCTGGCTTATTTTGCAAAGATTAATAGAATAATGCTAATAATGTTTGAGCCTTCATTATTAATTACAAATGTTTAGTTAAATATCGACTACTTTTGACAATGGCTTTGCTATGGAGTACTGAATCGAT